CTCTTTATGAATTTGATTCGACTTATTCTATTCCTATTCTCTGGAGGGTACGGTTGTGTACCAAATAGAAAAAAAGACATGAAATAAAGACAACTGGCTTGAAAATAATTATATTAAAGCCAAAAGTGAACGCATGATAGTATAAAATATATTGGTTTCATTATACATTGCAAATGAACGTTGTCGGCCTAAGGATTAATTACTTCCCCATTCTGTTTTCTATATAAATGTGTTTATTAATGATATATTTCACTCACTTAATCTATTACACTTTAATGTTACACCACAGCACTTTAATTTTTCTAAAAAAGCTTCCAATTCCTTGTAAACGTTGTACTTACCTCAATATTGGTTGATTATCGTATGCCTACAACCACGGGATGAAAACGAAACGAAGTCGATTTTCCCGCTCAACCTGGAGGACAATTGTACAATTCAATAACTATACAGCCTAGTTCAGACAATGTGTATTTATATATATATCAAATATTTAACTGTTGAGACATTATTAACTTGTAGACAATTTAAGATTTGACATTATGTCACACTTGATCGTGCCTGTAAAAATGGCATGCATTTTCATGTAAATTTATGTTTATATGAAAATAAATTATTATTATTATTAGATACGAGGACGTGCGTAGAGTATCGTGAGGTGCTGCCATGGTCACTTTGCATTCTGCAAGAGTCATTCTAGTAAGTGGCGATTGTGTTGCGAGATGTCAAGAGGAGGTCTCTGTCTGGAGGCGCAGGTCCTCATTGATGTGTGAGATTGTGCTGTGGGTATGCTTGTGGTGTGTTGGCTTTTCTGTTTGTTTTCCATTTCAGCTCTGTCCGTGTGACCCAGGTTCTCGCAATGGCATCCAAGTCAACGTGCATTGGTCGTGAAGGAAAAAAGGGTTGGATCCCTTTTTTGCCGGGGAGTGTCAATGGAGTTGAAGATTGAACGATCAATTCTTGGTTGTTTGCTGAAAATCAACTTCCCCAATTTTCGCGGAGGCATCAATACGACAGTCATCGTCTCATCGGTCGCTGTTCAGAAGGAAGTCAGCAGTAAACTGTCAGAAACCTTAGTGGGATTATTTTTTATATGTTGGCGTTACAATAAACTATTTTCGAGCGCCCAGTCGGTGTTTTGGTTTTTTCGTCCGTTATAACTAAGCGTTTCTGAAAAACTTCAAGGTACAGCTTGAGCCCGAGCGTAGCGAGAGCTGGGCATTAACGGTTTGCGAGACGTGGCTGACAGGATACCTTATCGATAATGACAACGTCCAGTAGATAGTTCTTATCTATGCCCTCGACCCAATCTTCCTTAGCTAACAGTAAGTTTGTCAGGTAAGGTCATCCTGGTTGGAATCCATGCTGTTCCCTGTCAGTAATCTATGTTAGTCCATGTAGGTTATGAGCTGATCCTTTATGAGTGTTTCTAATACCTTTGCTATTATGCATGCAGTTAAATAACAACTACCCGTTCCGCTCTTTGAAGATGAGGTTTATAAAAGCATCTTTCCAGACCCTAGATGGCCTAGCCTGGGTCAGTGACATTTGAAAAATCACCGTTAGTGGAATGTATATCATATCCGCCGGGGAAATTAGCAGTCTAAGGTGAAGTCTGTCAGGTCCAGGTGATTTGCCTGACTTCAGTTTAGACAGTACTTTGAGAACCACTGCATCCTCTGCCAAAGTGGTGGGCGTTTTAGTGGCTACAGCAGTGTCCTGGCTCCAGAATGAAAAGACATCGCAAAAGTATTCGGGGAGCTTTCCAGCCTTCGTTCTGTCTGACTCATCCTATTCTTTTGAAATGATCCAGATGATGACTTTGATAGACACCACACTTATTTCCCTCCAGGAAACAGGCACTGTTCCTCCGTGAAACGAGGCGTTAAAGCCTCTATGCTCAATTTCTCTCACTGTATTGGTTAAGTACTTGCTTCCGTTTATTAATATTTATCATATGAATTATAAATAATTCTGATGAAGCAGTGAGAAAACGTAATTTTTTCTAAACCGTGTAATGTATTTGCGCAACACATTTCGAACAGTCTGATGACACACGGACTTGTCATAGGAATGAATATGTGTCAAATTAATAAAGACTTAAGAGGTGAGAAAATAGACTTGGGCTAAGTTAAAAGACACATTAAATGTCAAAATAACAATGAAGGCCACTAAACCAAATAACGGATGTAGTAGTACATCTGCTATTATATGAAAACAAAGTTTACCAAGTAAGGTTGAGCATGATGACGAATTGGTTTTGAACGCATAAAGGTGGTTTAAACTTCCTAATTGCCAACTAGGGCTTCCACAAACTTTAGGATACGCCCCAAACACGTTTTATAGATAGGTTTAAAAGATGTGTTAACGTCAGTTTTATGTTCTACTCCATCGATAATATGTTTCGCAATAGAGGAGCTAGGTCTCCTATCCTCAACATTAATGGGTGCTGAAGATTATATTTGCTTCTGAAGCCAATTGGGAATATTCTCTGAAGCAAGCCCTTGCTTGCATAGATCAATAAGTCCTTCTCATGTATGTGTGGGTCAGCATGTACATTCAAATAGGTAAATACACTGGGATGGGACATCATTTTTTGCATAATCTAAGGACTTAGATGAATATATTGGCTTCACCTTCTCAATTACTATGATATTAGCTGCACAAAAAGTCTTTTTAACGGCAGCGTTCAGTCTTTGTTCATCTATCGAGATGCTATGATCCCCCACATAGGGTAGCTTGATGTAACCATCTTTCTTGGGGGTGAGTTAGAGAATTGGTCTTAACGTTCTGACCACTTTATATTTTCTGATGAACTTGTCCGGATATATATTATAGATAGGATAGGACATAAAATTGACGTTATCATATCTTTTAAACCTATCTATAAAACGTGTTTGGAAGAGGGGGTATTGTAAACTTTGTGGAAGCCGTAGCAATTAGAAAGCTTAAACCACATTTATGATTTCGAACACAATTCACCATCATGTTAAACGTTCCTTGGTAAACTTTGTTTTGATACCATAGCAGTTGTACTATTGTAACAACAGAAGACAACGGCCAGGAAACAGGTCGTTTATTAAGAAAATCAACACATAGATTTTCATGTACATTTTTAATAGATTATTGTTAGCTGACAAACACAGTCTTCTGATTGGTTGTTTCTCACAGAAAGTTAACCTTGGATCTCTTTGTGGCTGTTTTTTGAATGTCAAATCATCTATGTGTTAACTGTATCCGCTTACGCAAAGTCCGCTGTGGTCGGTCGTTAAATCAGTCTTTATTCTTGTTTCTTTCACGACCAATATTGGGGACGTAAAAATTGACGTAAATAAGTATCTACTAGTTTGGCTAGCAGCCAGCTCTCACCACACTTTTACATCTGTTGTTTGATTTAGTAGTCTTCATTGTTATTCTGACATTTAATATGCCCTTTAACTTAGCCCAAGTCTATTTTCTCACCTCTTAAGTCTTTATTAATTTGACACATATTCATTCCTATGACAAGTCCGTGTGTCATCAGACTGTTCGAAATGTGTTGCGCGAATACATTACACGATTTAGGTAAATTGCCTCTTCTTATTGCCTTATCTAAGTTCAGAAAAGAAGCTAACTGTTATAATTAATTCCAGCAAATATGAATTCTTAAATTCATTCCCCTCTGTGTTACTGGTTGATTTCCTGTAATTTGGCCATTGCGAAATGATACTTTTACAAATAATTATGACAGTCAACGTGTCAGCTGCTGTGTATCGTCCCAACTACCTGTTTCGGCTTCGGTACATTCAAAAACGAGGATACTAGCTGGCTTTCAGCGTACGAAATTTGAGGGCGGTGTTTATTCGTATATCAATTAAACGAAGAACGTATTATTGCTTAACTGCTGAAAACTGTTCCATACTGAATGCTATTTCTAACAAATAAACAGGGCACAAAAGTCAAACATACGCGAGAACGCATTTACATTTGGATTTCGCTTTTATACACAAGGCCCTAGCGTAATGTCCGTATTTTCGCTGACTTCACTGCGTAAAGTTAATTTCTCGCCTTCACCAAACGCTGAACTTGGTGCAAGCTGACAATGGTTTGTAAAATAGTGCATAATCTAAACATTGCCTGTAATATCCCTCATGGTAACTCTGATAGAAATGCCACCAGTAGACAGTATCAAAGCGTTGGCGCGTTCCCCATTTCTTTGAGCCTTTACTTTCATGAAATTCACTGTCGGCATTACAATGCTGAGAATATCAAGACTGATCGTGATTCGACAATACAGATGCTGGGACGATGACGTTCACGAATAGTACGATGTATACTAAGGCAAGATCTAATAACCGCAGCTCCTTTAACACTTGTTACTTGTAGTCCAAAGACAAAGCACGACATGGAATTGGTGGTCCAAATGATGAAGTACATTTCGGGACAAAATCGCAGTGCGAGGCTGACTGCTTAACTAGCTGGGAACTGTGCACGAACGAAAGTAATACGACGGCGCATTAAATGGCGATAATGCTTGACCGTAAGCAACTAGCTAAAAAAGTCGACTTAAACAGTGAGGTTCAGCATCCGATAATTATTGATTAATGCTTCGGCGAATAATTCTGGAGATTTATCTGTCCCTACAAATTGTTTTTCGAAAATGTTGAACCGAAAACCCCCTCATTATGTGATAGGTATTGGCTAAACTCACTTCGCCCTTTTTTAAATCTAGTGATAATCTGACTGTTACATTCCCTAGTTCACAAATCTTACCAGAATTAACCTCGGAATTTTACACCATAAGTTTAAGCCTCGCTTAGATAAACTTGTATCTGAAATACAATGTTGATGCACAGTAGAAAGCTGCTGAATTTAATAACAACTACTTCAAGAATGAACGTGATGGTAATTAAAATGCATTTTTATAATTATATTTGCCACAAAAATTGGAGTGATCAGTCTGCCACATTACTTACAATTACCTATAATTAAACTTGTTTGAATGCATCAATTTAAGCGTCCTCAAACAAACCACAATTTAAAGAGTGTTTATCCGGAAATTGGTAAGTTAGGCGTTATAAAGTTTTTATTGACACAATTTCAATATAATGTACATTTTTTCCTTCCAAGTGTTTCTCAGTTTATTTATAACTTAATGCATTGTTCTCAATTTATGGGCATTTAAATCATGTTGTGTTATGGCGTTAATTAATTATCTTATGGCTGACAAGTAAAGTACACTGGGGAAATGGAAATGTCCTTAGGATACACCACTGCATTTTATTTCTTGACTTGTAAATTTATGTACTAACATATTCTCAAGTAGAGAATAAACTAGTCTGTTCGGAATAATATTATTCTAAACATATAGTTTCCGTATGAAATATACTTATATTAGTATGAAACAACATTTTTCCATGCATGTAGTAATTATAAAGTTCTTTCATGTATTTTTAAGCTACAAATGACTATCTTTAGTATACGTAATTGTCTTACTTCATATTCTTATCCGCTGTCTTAAGATAATATCTAAAACCATTATTAATACCTTCAGCAGAACTTTCTGAATTAAATACGTTTGTCCTGATCTTTATAACCCTGGTATTGGGTCTTATTTTCCTAAAATTACATGGAGTCTTCCTAACTAATATTTCAAAGTAAGTCAATGTAAGACTCGTTGACCTAAAATTGTTAAGCTTGCACTTAAGAATGTAAAAATTTTAAGGATTCAGCTTTTATTAATAGAGTAGATGAATTATACAGCTTGTTCGATTCATGAAAAATGCACTGAAATTTGTTTTCTGCCTTCACACGAAAAGTTTCGAAATAGAGACGTGTGTCACTGTTACTCTCATTTCTAATGATCACAAAAGCCTTCATAGATTTCAGCTCGTACACTGTTCCATTCTACGAAGTGTAATGGGCATTCCAAATGACTTTTCTACATGGCCAGATCATTAGCATACAAAGGCCATTTGAAGCGACATCATCTTGTATATCATGTCATTTTGTTAAATTTAAAAAGAATTTGTATTTTACTGACTGGAGATCCGACGATCAGAGTGAAATATATGGCTGTGAGTCATGAGGCTTCACAATCATTCACACAATCATTCAACTATACATTTTACCATTTCTAACTCTATTTTTCTTGAGCGTTCTAATCTTTCGACTATGGAATATAAAGTTATGATAATATTAATTTTTCACTCACTTTTCTTTATGTAAATTCATACCCCGAGATTCGATTGCCTTTTTAACACAACTCTGCTAAGTCATCTTAATGTTTGTATGATTTCTCATTTCCTTGGTGGACATATATCCATGTTACAATCTCCTTCTAAGAGATGAGATATTTTAAGCGAACTGCCGACCTCAGTACTAAATATATAAAGGTGGCTTTTACGTCTGAAATATTTATCGTAGTGCGAGATTGAGATTTTTCAGAGTTTTGATTGAGTATTTAAAGCCTCAGGCCTTCTAATCTCGTCAAGAGAACACAAACATCACTTTTTCAGGTAGTCGGTTCTAAGATTTTATGAGTTGATGGGAGAACCAGAAATCTGCAGCAGTGTAGTTCCTCCTTGGCTTTTGAACTCTTCAGCTATATCCTCTGACATTTTTCGGACTAATAAGAAAGCCAAGAGAAAGAAGATTTTGTCCATCGTCATTTCTTAGAATTTCGAAAATTGTAATTCAATCTTCGCAGTGCCTACGACATGATAAGGAGAAGAGATTGAAACTATTATGTCTTTCTTCGTTTGATAAATTAGTCACATCAAGAACCAACATGTGGCCTTCCACTGAGTCCTTTATCGAATGCATGAGTCCCTTTAAAACAAAGCGTGTCTGTCTAGATACAGTTTTCTGCTTTTGACCTCTCCAGAGGCGTGCATAAAGTTGGAAGCATTTCACTGGTAATTCCAGTAAGGACCCTGCGTATTGTTCATAAGGATCTAAAACTTTGAACTGCCACATCGGGACAGTGTGTTATAGTTTTTGGGTCATTACTTACTATAGCACCTAGGTCCGCGTGCATCTGAAGTGAAGGGGACTGTACTACCTTTTTATCATATGAGTTGACACTTGTATGCCCAATGCTCATGATTGCGCACTTCCCTACGTTGATTGAGACAATCCATTCCTTGAACAAATGTAGTATTTTGTTGAGATCTTCTTCCAGTCTAAGTATGTCGTTTTCACTATTAAGCCCTATGTAGATTTTCAGATCACATGTATAGCAAACCATAGAAGAATTGATGGGCACAGAAAATTCATTTAAAATTGATATGCAGCAGAAACCAGTTATTACCCTCGGGTTCCAAGTGGAACATATGGCTTCACCGATACATCTCCAATTCATCTTGTTTTATGTATTCGTCTATAGCTGGCTCTACAACTGCTTGTACGCTCTCATCTCTTCCACCTTACCCTTGCATCTATAACAATTTCGTCGTTTCACAATCGGGTTCCAGTCAGAAAGCCCAATGTACGATGCCACTTAGCCATCTCCTCAGCGTCTATCAAATCCATCTTGTTACTAGTCTTTTCTGGCCATTGCAACTATACCGAGAGAAGGCAACTATTTATAAAATTCAGAAGCGTGTTTGGAATGATTTCGTAATTCAAGCTCTAGGTCTATGAAACATACAGAATTATTCACTATCTTGATATCAGTGTTGAACACAATTCGGATATTGTGCCGTATGCTGAGTGCATCAGATTTCCACACTGATTTCGGAGTAATGAAGGTCTGTCTTGGTTCTCCGATCTTGCCTTTGCTATCTTCATCTCTTCCCGGCACCTGCAGTTGAAACAGTGTTGCCCAAACAAGTGAAAGAGATAACTTCCTTTAGATTTCCCTCATTGATGATTATTGGTGCTTGATGTTGGTTGGTTAGTTGTTTTTCCCACCTCTGTCTTTTCATTTGAAATCCTGTCCTCACTGTCTACTTCTACCAGTCTATAGGTTTTCGCCTAAATGTCTTCCAGTTTATGTAACATTAGAAATAAATCATGCTCAAAGTCCAGATCTTCTAGTGTCTGTTACAATAACTAGAAGCACATAAATAAGATCAAACGATACCTAAAAGTTAATCGCTAATAAAATAACTTCGACCAGTTAGTTGAGTGAAGTTCAACTGTGGAATTTAGAAAAAAAATCTTCCCTTATAATCTAGTCCTTAGTGCCCATTATATACTGAGCCCCCTTTATGGTAAAAAAAACTAAAGACAGAGAGTCAGAGTCTACTATACAACCGTCAGCAACTTTTATTCGCCAAATGAATGCGAAAACCAACTATGTATATCATAAAGAAGTTCTGTAATAGGATGGGAAACAGCAGAATACCTATACCATTTGAATAATTGTAAAGATAATATTAACCTGCTGTGACATCTGCTTATAAAATCTAGTTAATAAGTGGCAATCATATTACCTTATATATATGTCCAAACCAAGTTCACTTTGAACAGTTTGAAAACATTTAGGCATTGGGTGGTATAAGAAATTCATTATAATAAGGGCTATTTTTGTATTTCCCAATGAATGAAAAACAAAACCATATTGTTTTTACTGACTTTTCTCCATTTGATGCTGCTAACAGCTTTACTAAAGTAGTGATATTACACTAGAATTGACAAAATCTCAGCTTATATATAACAACTTAATCAGTGTTTACCAGTATGGGGTCATTTTTACGTTGTCAAGTTGGCCAATTGGTAAAGATAACAAAATCAGGAGTAGACTGTTGGATTTTATAAGTGTGTAAAATTATGAAAGCAGTATGTGTTCACATAATGAAATTGCTTATCACATTCGTGTTGATTTTGTGACTTCGTGGGGGAGAGAGGTGTTGTAACCACGTCAAATTCTGTTTTAGTCCATCATTCCTATTCAGACAATTTGGATTCTATTTGTTGATATGAAGTGCTTCTGATGATGTTAGACGTTCTTTGTGATTTCTGAAATTCTTCTGGATTATTTTACTAGTGTCAAAATGAATTTTGTGGCCTGATTCTATAGCGTGTAGACAACCTATGGCTGATGATTTTTCAAGCTTTTCTACTTCCACTGGGTTTCTAGGCGGTAGAACAGAGATAGCTCTACGGTGTTCATTTCTTCTGAATACCTTGATTTCTCTCTGGCGATGTTTGTACAGTGTACATTGCATCACATTTCAAGCAAGCATACTGTTTTGTAGACACAATTAGATTGAGAATCTTTCGGGATTTGGTATTATATAGACAAGGTTGTTTCGTATTGTGTCTGATATTTTAAAGGAAACTCTGATGTCAAGCTTATTGAGTGCTCTTCTGACATCGCCTGACGTCTCTGCTCGATATGGAATGACGACTGTTGATGTTCATGTCTTCGGAATACGTTTTCGGCCATACTTAATGTCTGTGTTGATTTTGTTGATGGAGTTCCTTGGGTAGTTGTTTTGCTTGAGAGTTTCGGTAATGTTTGATATTTCTTCCTCTGTTTCTTTCTCATCCGTTCATATCAAAGAGTGTGCTCTTCGAGGAAGACTTGAAACAACTGAAATCTTTGCGCTGATGGGGTGTGATGATCCGAAGTCCAAATATTTGTTGAAGTGGGTTTTCTTCCTGAATAGAGATATATTAAAATGTCCGTTTTCCCTCCTCTTAACTAGGCAGTTCGGTTTAATATTACTACTTTGATAAAGCTATTAGCAGCAGCATTAAATAGCAGAATGTCAGTACAAATAACAATATCGTTTTGTTTTTCATTCATTGGGAAATACCAAAAAAGCTTTATTATAATGAATCATATTACCTGTCTAACCTTATGCAATACTATGAAATCATATCCGTTTTATGTGTTAAAAATATCTTATTATTTATTACTACTGTTCCCTTGGGTTCCCAGTGAAACATGGGGCTTCAACTGCACGTCTCCACTTGCCACTTCTGTCTTCTGCTGCTGTACTTTTCACCTGAATCCATCCATGTTAGTTAGTCCATACTGTTTCAACTCCTCTTCACACGATCTCCTCCATGTCACCCACACTTGAACGTCCCACTCCCCGCTTCCCTTTCG